GGGAATGGTGTCCAGTGCAGCTTCTTTTATGTGTGTGTGTGTGTCGCTGGTTGGCTGTTTGATGCATGGCATGCAGTCCGTGTATCGTATGATCAACTTTGTCCACCCACGTCCACCCCCGGAGTCGATCCTTTGCCGTCAAGACACCCAGAACGGCCCTCATCTCTGACCTGGTGGGCGAGGCGAGGCGAGGCGACACACAGACAGAGAGACAGAGAGACAAGCCCGCACGCAGACAGACAGACAAACAGAATGTCTGTGTGTGTGTGTGTGTGTGGTGTAGGCGCAGTTAGGAGCTCACGTGGCGATGCTGGCGGCAGACAGGCTGGAGTGCTGCAGCCCCCCTGTCCTGAGCTGCACGTCCCCTGTGGTGGAGGCGTATGTCACCGAGTGGCAATCGGGTCAGATTTGCCACTGTCTTCCTCGGCAGAGTCGCCACACGGTATTTATGTACTTACTGTATGTGTGAACCCTCCACCAATACCCCACCCCCTCCACACACCCCACCCCTCCATCATTTGTGTGTGTGTGTTATGTGTGTGTGTGTGCAGGATCGCTGCTTCGCTCCCCGCCGCGCACATTCCCTGCCGCACCCTGACCACCGCAGCGCGCCACCACAAGACCATCGACTCCGCCGCCCTCGACATAATCGCCAAGAGGGGCACCAAGGGGCTGCTAGCCCAGCGCATCCGGGTCGACGTCAATCCGCCAGCTTTCGGATGTGCCCCCAAACTACAATCGCTGTAAGTGTCTGTAGCCACATCATAGCACCACACAGAACGGCCACATATGTGATGCGTCTTCCCTCTCTCTGTGTGGTCCTGTCTGCCTGTGTCAGGACTTGACGACCAAGACAGAAGCATGACACCATCATCCCATTCCATGGCATTTCATTGCATGGCAGGGAGAGGGAGAGGGAATGTGAATGCTTTGCAGAATGAGCATTTCTCTCCCTCTCTGTGTGTGTCAGGTGTGAAAGGGTTGAAGGCCCAGGAGTCTCAGAGGGCTGATTGTCCATCAATATCGCTGCCCACATTTTATATTCTGCCGTCTGTTGTCTGGAGTGTACCACCCCGCCCCTCCCCAGCGGCCCCGACCTTCTCAGACAGGTGCGTACGCCAGAGACACAGACGAACACCACACACGTATTTGTCACCTGACGTCAGCAGGAGGAGATGGTGCGCCGACCAACACAAGGACCCCCTCGGCGCCAAGAAGGAGGACGGCGGGGCGGCAGCCCAAAACGACGCCAAACTCGCGGCTCGATGCCCCCCTGGCTGCCGCCGGTGACGAAGCCGCTCCCCCTGGGCCACCGAGCGGTCTGCAGGAGGCCCCAGCCACCCCCACCATCACCCCAGTGCCACCCCACTTCTACCTGCCAGTGATGATACCGCCCCCATCGCCCCCGCAGTAGAAGCGGGGCTGCGGCTGTTGGCGGTGAGGGCTGCGGCCCCCACCACCAACAGGACCACACCTCCCCAGACTCAGGGGGGGGG